TATATATATAAAAGACTGTTTTTCTAAGTAATCTAGAATCTAGCTGCAAGGACCCGCTTCGCTGGGCAAAAAGTAACGATAGTGAAGATTAAGATAATTACATTATAGCAAATCTTACCCGTTTTCACAGAATGCAAGAATTAGGTCCCCCGTTTCCAGACTAATTAGAGAATTTTTACGTTTAGTCAAACGAACTATTTTCAACGTTTCTGGAACGTTTACAATCGTTTTATAATCGAACCAATATTCGAATTTCATGTTCGAACAAATTCGAACATAACATTCGAAATAAAAACCCACTTTCAACCACTTTCAGCCCCATATCTCCCGTACCCTTATAGCTATCAAGACGCAACCACCATAGTGCACGAATGGAGACTTGGAGCTACTACCTCATACAAACACCATTCATGGGCGATGTTTAATTTCGGCTGAAAAGTGAAATATAGGGACACACACGTCCATTTTTATATATATAGATAGATATAAATATATATATTATATTTACATAGAACTTATTAAAGAGAATAAATAATAATAGATGAAATTTCAATATCATAATTACTATCAAGAAAATAAAAACATTTGTATGCTTACTTTGCATTGATTCTGACAATCGCTGCCGATGTATCCGGGCGAGCAATCGCACCTACCATCGACATGGTCACAATGGAGTGTCGTATGTCGTCTGCAGCTGCATTGTGTTTGACAATTTTTACCGAATTTCCAGTTCTGCAAGTATTAATTTTTCAATCTTTGTAGTTAGGTGTCATTTAAACTTGCAACTATACTTACTTTGCAAATACTTTCGCATTTGTTTCCAGTATATCCTGATTCACAAATACACGATCCAGTGATATGATCGCACTTAGCTCTATTCTCACAGTGACATTTTTCTTGACAAAGATATCCGTAGTATCCTGTTTTGCACGGTATTTCGCAATTTGTTCCTTGCCATCCTATTGGTAAAAATTGATTTATTTTCGATTAATTTTTTATTGTTAGACAATGGTATCCGTAATTCCGTTTTAGTCATGAAGTACTGATAAATCTAACCTCTAGCACAGTTACACCTTCCATTAGCAGGATCGCATTTGGCTCCATTTTTACATAAACATTTGTTGGTGCAGTTAACGCCCCAAGTATCCTTACAACCTATAATTATAAGTCAGTTTAATTAATATCGTTATTATCATATTATAAAAAAAGCATCACTGCAAAAATGTAATATAATGGTGTTTCTGTTTGAAAACAATATTATCATAAGGACGTGTTGATATCATTCCAATGGACGGTAACATTATGGCGGAAAGTCATTTTAATTACAAATAACTAGAGCAATAATCGATTTCTTTATTGTCACTTAACGATTCAATGACCCGAACAATACTGGCATGTCAGGCTATCTATGGAATATATGTTGAATGAATAGATCACCTGTTTGAAGTTTTGTGATTGTCCATTTAGAAAAACCATTGTTGGATACCCCAAAGTTTACAATAAAGCGGCTCTCTTTATGCGACATCACATCGAAACATTTTTGTAGTTTTTCGATATGTTTGGATTAATCTTGAATTCTGAAGCGGATGGCTTCTACCCGAACCGCTCTGTCATTCAACTTCCATAATTAGAGATTCTTCAACTAGGTTTATCACTCAATTTACGTCGCATCAACTTACAGAAAAGCCACCATATCTATACTTAAAGTATCGCAAACTTTCACCACTCCTAATATTCCAGAATATCATAGCTAGGATTCGATCTTATATTTTCGAGTCACATAAGCAAAAACAAAACACTATGACTATAGCCTCACACTTTCTCACTCTGTGAAACATTTAATTATTCAAATTTACACATAAGATTCACTCTTCTTGCTTTACTACAGACATACACGATTAGACGTTCTTATTCTATCTTACGTATTATAACAATTATAAATATAACCGTTTACTTGTGTCACAGATGTTGCCCTTCCAACCAGCCGAACACAAACAGGTGTTTGGTGCGACACATTGCCCATGCAAGCAAGATTTCTCACAAATTGCTGAAAAAAGAAAATTAATATATTATGATACACGTTTCAAATCAATTTAAATTTTACAAAAATAAAATACTTGCGATGACATTTATTCTCAATTTTCTCATATCCTGTACAACATATGTAATGTCTTCTAGTATAATATTTTGTAACAGGTATTATTCTATAATATAATCTAAGCAATATTTATTTTAATTACATTAAAATTCAGACATTTAAAATATTAATTTTTATCAGATTTTATAACATGTAAATAACTTACAGACTTTTGTAGCACGTGTAAAGCCATAAAAACCCGCATCTTGTACTTTTTCTTCTATATTGAAATTCCTTTTGGTATTGTTGATACGAATACCTGACGATATGAACATTATCATTATTAAAATAAATCAATTTTATAATTTTATGTTAATTATTTTCAAACATAATTATAAAATTTTGGAAATCTTTTATAATTATTGTTTAAAGGTGTTATCGTAAGAATAAGATTATCTTAGAGATTAAGAATATTTTTTATCATGAATTATAGGATTTGTTGAATAAGGCAACACAATGCGTGGACGGTGCCTCCCAGCAGGGCTTTCTACGAAAAGCTGGCCTCTATTGAGATGTTAGACACGTTAAGAAAACCGAAAAGTCTGCGCGACCAGATCGTTGGTAAGGCGTAAACACGCGATAATTGTTTATACCATTTCTCCATCCGTTGCCGAAATCGCATGGGCGTAATGAAATCCACGGTGGGTTTGGCCATGACCATTACGAAAAGGCCGAATTTAAGATGGGGATTTTCGATCTTACACAATTAAGAACCAGGATCCTGCAGAAGAAGGGCTAACGCATCCCTCGTTTCAACCTGCCGTTAACACGGCTTTCAGGAATTTATTTCTTTTTACATTTTCATGGAATACGAACATTTACTCCAATTTAAATTTAATTGTCATATATATCACTTCATTACACGATTAAATAAGAAAAACTGAAATTTAAAACATAAAAATGCTTACGCTTGATATATCGTGCAGACATTGAATTCATAACTTAGTGAATTGGTCAAATGGTAACAGAAGAAACAAATTATAAAAATGTAAATCTTCATGTTTTTCGTTATTTTCTGTAAAAAGAATTAAATAGTTTAATTTTAGTTTATTTTGAAGATTATAGTTTATAAGAAAAACAAAGTTAAGAGTATGAGAAAATTTTAGTGTATGCCTTGTTGCATTTGTTTAAATAAATCTTAGAAAACCTAAAATTTTGAACGGTTTATTGGGAGATGGTGACCCAAACAGAAACGGACTGGTAAGGAACGTGTCTCCCCTGAGGACTTTTTATGGAAAATTATCCCCTATTCAGGTGTTATGGTACGCGAATCTATTAGGGAGTGAATTATTATTCCCTAAATTTTAGGGCAGCCTCATAAAAAGAAAACTCACAATGCAAATCACATGAAATTCTTCTCGAATGCTACGTCCAGAACGCCTATCCTCTACAATTTCTTCCATTTATTTACAGTCATCTACCTTACGCTACCCCTTTACACTTCTAATAAATCGACGATGACCCTAATGATCTGGAACAATTATTTATCATTCTTTAGAGTATTCAATGTCTAAGATATTAATCTGAATGATTGTCTTAATTTCCCGGCTGTTATGTATAACAGAAGAAAAGTATGGCAATCGGTCCAGAAACGTCCCCCCCCGAAGAGTTTTATATTTTCGGATTCGGTGAACCTAGAAATGTTTAGAAATTCATAAGAATTCCGGATGTGTTTGACTATACTGTGTGTAATATGTAAAAGATGACAATTAAAGGACATTTTCGAGAGTTTTTTAGATCATTTCTTTATCACGAATAAATAAAATAATTAAGGTACTTATTTATCGACTAAATCGCTTGACGACTCAGTCGCAGGCACGGAACTATGTCATTAAATTAAGGGAGGAATGCCTGTACACACAGTAAGCTAAGCTAATTAAATATAAATTTATACCTAAGTAAATGGGATATATATCAAAAAGTGGAGAAGATAGTGTAGTTGGGTACAAGATCATCTATTATTCTGGTTTATCTATCTAACTTGAAAAAAAAAATGATCCAGGTATAAATGGAGTAGACAAACCCTGTAAGAAATATGTTACAGTATACAGTCAATCTAACCAGAAAATAGAAAATATAACAAATACGCTAATATTGGAAGTGAAATGATTTTTTTAAAAAAATTATAGGAGTTTATTAAGATTTAATACAGGTAAAAACTTGTGCCTTTACATACAAACATCCAGTAAAGAAAGTAAAACACTCCAAACTTTATGACGTTTCAAGCTCTCATGTGTACATAATAAACGAAGGTTATTTTAGATCGATCTCCGTACTTATTTTCTATTATAAATAACTGCCAAAAACTAAAAGGAGGGAATCAATTGTTTATAATAATGAATTTAAAGAAGAAAGATACGAGGATTGTTTAAAAAGTAGTGCGCCTATCTGTGAAGGAATTGTCACAGACAAACGACACTTTAACACTTCTCTATGTAGTCTTCCTGGAGTGTGATATGCTTCTTCCGGTAGTGCCCCAGCTTTGCGAACCCTTGGCGAAAACAAGATGTGTTCTGGTGTTTAAACCATTTACGGACAGAGCCCGTGACGGCNGGCACGGAACTATGTCATTAAATTAAGGGAGGAATGCCTGTACACACAGTAAGCTAAGCTAATTGAATATAAATTTATACCTAAGTAAATGGGATATATATCAAAAAGTGGAGAAGATAGTGTAGTTGGGTACAAGATCATCTATTATTCTGGTTTATCTATCTAACTTGAAAAAAAAAAATGATCCAGGTATAAATGGAGTAGACAAACCCTGTAAGAAATATGTTACAGTATACAGTCAATCTAACCAGAAAATAGAAAATATAACAAATACGCTAATATTGGAAGTGAAATGATTTTTTTAAAAAAATTATAGGAGTTTATTAAGATTTAATACAGGTAAAAACTTGTGCCTTTACATACAAACATCCAGTAAAGAAAGTAAAACACTCCAAACTTTATGACGTTTCAAGCTCTCATGTGTACATAATAAACGGGGGTTATTTTAGATCGATCTCCGTACTTATTTTCTATTATAAATAACTGCCAAAAACTAAAAGGAGGGAATCAATTGTTTATAATAATGAATTTAAAGAAGAAAGATACGAGGATTGTTTAAAAAGTAGTGCGCCTATCTGTGAAGGAATTGTCACAGACAAACGACACTTTAACACTTCTCTATGTAGTCTTCCTGGAGTGTGATATGCTTCTTCCGGTAGTGCCCCAGCTTTGCGAACCCTTGGCGAAAACAAGATGTGTTCTGGTGTTTAAACCATTTACGGACAGAGCCCGTGACGGCATCATCGCTGTTCAAACGGTGTCATTTCAGGTGTCATTTGAATGTCGGGAACAAGCGAAAAAAATCAGGCAATAAATAACTGTACTCGGGGATGTACCAGTTTCGACGTATAGAGCGCCCGTTATCTTCCACGTGGGATTATCGGTTAGAACGACTAGAGGCGAAGATTACTTGTGGGTAATTATGCTACAAAACATAGTAAATGCATAGAGATATTTCTTTACTGATGAAGCTACCGTCGCCCCATTGTAAGCTAGGCAATGCGACACATGTGTAATGTACCGAGGATGGAAGAGGATTTTCTATTGTAAACTGGCGTCTATTTAGGTGTACCAGCCGCGAAGAAATTTCGGGAATAATTACGTGGCCAATTCGTTATCAGTGTTCAATGGTTTTATTCATTCGATCACTGGTGAACACCATTGTAACTCTGGCTAAAGTATACTAAAAGTGGTCGCAAGAAGGAAAGAATAAAATGAAAAAAAAAATTGTCGTGAATAGTAGTTATAAACAATTGAAACTCTAATCTTAGATTCACTTTTTGTGAACGTGAAATTTCACGATAATTGAGAGGGGGTAAAATAATTAATTTCTTTTTCAGGCTGTTGCATAAATTCCACAAGACAATACAAAAGTAAAATAAAAGTATTTTTAAGAGATATGTGTATTTTGCTCACCTTTAAATCCTATTTATCTCTTACAATAGAGCAATGAAATTCTCTCAGTGACAATACTCCGAAACTTGTCACGGCACAATGCGTAATCAAATTCAAAACTAAAAGTATTTGGAAAATCGAAACGTGATCTTATTTGAAACCATAAAAGAAATTTCCTGTTGACAAAAAACCAAATTTCGATTTTGTAGATTTATTAATAGCGCAGGGAAGAAGTATTTTGTTCTTTTTAATCTTTTAAGGAAGCTTTTTTAGTCATACTTATTATGCAGGGTGGTGACTGATTGTTGTTTCCCCAAGTGCAACAAATAATTTTACCACCCTTATTAATTTAATATTATTTAACAGTAGGAAAGTATAGAGATCGTTCAAAAAAATATTCCTTTCCTTACAGTTTTAATCGTGGGAAAATTTGAAACGTCGAGAAATGCATAAAAAGTGATGTCTTTTTTTTTATAAGGATGGATGTTAATGTGCCCCTGTGTCCTATTTGTTCACGTTATTAACTTCTGTTCTTTCAGTCGAAAATTCCTGAAATTTCGTAAGAAGGTTTGTATGTTACGGGCATTTACACTGTTAAATTTTGATGATTATAGGTCAAACAGGTGTGGAGATTTAGAGGGGTCATGTGCGGTATTTCGAGTGATAACGAACTTCATAAGGATTTTACTCGTTATTAGCATCTACAATTTTTTAAAAAATATAATTTATTTTTGCTCTATAAATTAAACTTTTTGTCACAATAACTTTTAATAAGTTTTTATAAATAATCGTAACAGATAGAGCCACACACAATTTTAGGAATACAAGTCGACCCCTCTTATAACACTGTTGATTATTTTATTTTATATGAATTTCATGTTGTACGAGTCACTTAGATTTTACAAATACGTGAGCCGTTCACAGCCAGGCACACGTATTTGTAAAATCTAAGTGACTCATACAACGTCCAATCAAACGAAAATTACGTTGTGTATAGAGCTGGTGGTACATTTTGCTCTTAATATACAGTAAATGAATTCCGTACATTAGATTAACTTGCTTGTGCTATGGATAATCCTAATTATATTTTATTTAAAATCAATTTCAATGTAGAAATACTCGTTTCTTGTTGCAGGCAGAGTTAACGAGTTGGCAACACTCCTGGAATTAAAGATTTTAGTGGCGCCATCTGTTATCATATTATATTAAATTTTTTAAAATATTTTTAACTATTATAAAATGGCAAGAAGCTTAATTTTCAGATTAGAAATGGGTGTTATAATATATTTAAAAAAAAAGAAGAAGAAAAGAAATGTAAATGCTAATAATGAGTAAAATCGTCATTAAATCTTCCCTACTAGAGACCTGTGACTAAATATTCAGATGGCACAATTCACTGATTGGTCAGCTGAATGATGTCAACCTATTAAAATCGGAGATGTCGATCGATTAGCCTAAGCCCACCAGTGACCGAGTGGACTCCGTCCTCGCACTTTGCGTGGACCAGACTCTAAACACTGGAAGTTTGGTCCTGGGTTTGCGTGTTTTCTCCATGTCGATGACGCCTGAATTGGGGCCAGTTTCCCATAAAAAGTTTTCCCAGAAGGCTTTCTATCCCCGCGCGGCGTTTACACCGTTCTATAAGGCCGGCTCTACGATCAACCACACGTCTAACTCTTAACCTATTCAGGATTTCCCCCGCGAAGAACCAATGACTTTCAAAATTACGTAATCGGAGTCAGAACGTAAACAAACGTTCAGAAATAGCTGTTTTTTCATGTTATTCATGTTATTTGACTTTATTTAGACCAGAAGATTACTTTTCAAAAGCTTCCAGTCGAAAAATTTACCGGGAAAATCGTTACCTTCGAATGTCGCGTAATCGCATGAAAAAAACTTAACTAATCGCTTATTATAATCTATTATTATAAAAAGCGTTGAAAAACAATGCGTAAAAAGTGTTTAATATTTACTTTTGGAAGCGGAAATACATTTAATAGAGAGGTTGCGGCCGAAGTTTTCATCTTGAAAACGTGAACGTCAAACGTCGAGCGCCGCTTATAAGATAGAAGCGCTCGACGTTCGACGTTCACGTTTTAGAGATGAAAACTTCGGCCGCAACCACGCTAATAAATTACTAAAATTATTTATTATTTTTGAACGAATTTTAACTTCGTACTTGATCTTTATGCACATCTGAACCAAATCGTACACAATACATCATTTTAATAGTGCGATTAGTGTTTTATAAATTTACGTGTACAGATAATAAATAACAGAAAATTTATACTTTGTTACAGATATTATTCATAAAAATTTTAAGAAACGATGAAATTTATAATTAAGACGAGTCAGAATATTTTTTCAATTTGTCATATGCATTTAATTAATATAATTAGATGAAACAATAAGAGCTAGTTAAATAATAAATACGTGCCTTTTATAAAGTTTCAGATGAAATGTCTGCCCGCTATCACAACAAAACAATACAGAGTTTAGGCTAATCTTTTCTTTCGTAGAGTGGTACATATAGAGTTTCGTGGCTATTCGCCTTTTACTTCGAGAGACGTATGGTTGATGGTAGAGGCGACCAAAGAGCCAGCTTTATAGAACGGTGTAAACGCCGGGAGGACTTTTTACGGGAAACTAGTCCCCTACTTACTGGGGCTTCATCGTACATGGAGAAAACCCGGAACGCTATGTTGCCAGACCGTCAGAGCGAGGCGCGAAACCACATTCCCAGTGTTTAAGGTCTGGTCCATGCAAAATGCAAGCACGGAGTCCACTCGGCCACTGGTGGACATAGGTTAATCGATCAACATCGCCGATTTTAATAGGTTGACGTCATTCAGCTGACCAATCAGTGCATTGTGCCATCTGGATATTTAGTCGCAGGTCTTCAGTAGGGTGAGAGTTAATGACGTTTTTACTCATTAGCAGCATTCAAAACTTTTATATATATATAACCCATTCCTACCCTCAAAATTAAGTTTCTTGCCATTTTATATAATAGTTAAAAATATATTTTTTTAAATTTAATAAAATATGATAATAGATGGCGCCACTAAAATATTTTATGTTGCCAGCAATGTTGCCAACTCGTTAACGGTTTAGTTAACTCCGCCTACAACAAGAAATCAGTATTTATACATTAAAATTGATTTTTAAAAAATATACTTAGGTTGGTCGATAGCACAGGCAGGTTAAATTAATGTACGAAATTAATGTGAAGTCCATCATTCTCCCCACAAAAATTTTGTTTTATTGTATTTATCTATCTATATATTATATATTTGTCAATTGTCATTTATACTACATTATCGTCTGTGTTACATGACCGATGGTTTGCGGTTCATATCACATGGACACACATCATTCTTTATTGATAAGAGAGGAGGAGGACCAATAGATGACCAGTCATGCATTTAACAAATTACCTCACCTTCCTCCGGAATTAAAGCATAATTGGTCAAAAACAAGAGAAAAATAGAAAGAAGTGATAAAATTAACGCAGAAAACGATAGAATCAGAGAGTGAGAAAGATTTGAAGAAGTGAGACAGAATTGAGAAGGTGAAAAAGAATTGGAATAATGAGAGAGGTTTGAGACTGACTGGACTGGCAGGACAGGAAATTGACCAGAAAAGGGACAATCGAACTCTTGTGAAGGACCTAAAAAAGTAACAAGAAGACGATAAGAAAAAGGAGAATGCAACTTTTTTCCTGGCATGTTGTGATTCGCGCAGTTCAGATATCCCCCGTTTTATAGATAGGGACAGGCCAATTTTCTAAATCAGATTTTATATCGTCGTACAGTACGTTGTTCTTTTTTATAATAAACTTCTTTTTTATTTGTATTTGACTTTGCATTCATCCTCCTGAGAGGCTCATTCCTGGACTTCGGAGTGACTATTACCCTCACGCCTTAACTATTTGTTTTTAGTTTAAATCAGAGGTGTGACCCTACCCTAAACTTGCCGTAATCAAATTTTTGACGACCCCCGACGTCCACATTAATTTACTTTCAATCTGTATTTACTGTATATTATTAAGAGCAAAATGTACCATCAGCTCTGTACACAATTTGATTTTAAATTTAATTTAAATTAATTTTAGTTTCACTTTGACTTTTAGTTTCGTTTCCGCGTAACGACTAGAGTTTTAATTATCATTTTATTATCGTTTAATTTAACTGTTATTTCTACTTTTAATTAATTTTATAAATTAATTTGTTTAGTATTAATTCAGTTTTAGTTTCTTTAATCATTTTTAAAAAATTTTTTATTCATTTATTATTATTTATTTAATTTTGCATTATTTTTTCCTGCATTTTTTGAACTCTTAATTATATTTTTTTTAAAAGTCCATCATCGAGTTGCCTAACTTTCTCTCTAAATATACTTAAAACTGTGTGTGGCTCTATCTGTTACGATTATTTATATAAACCTTTAATTTAAAGGTTATTGTGACAAAAAGCTTAATTTTAGTGCAAAAATAACTTATATTTTTTAAAAAAATTGTAAATGCTAATGACGAGTAAAATCCTTATTGAGTCTGTTGCCACTCGAAATACCGCAAATGACCTCCCTCAATCTCCACACCTGTTTGACTTATAATCATCAAAATTTAACAGTGTAAATGCCCGTAACATACAAACTTTCCTACGAAATTTCAAAAATTTTTAGGAATTTTCGACTCAAAGAAAAGAGGTTATTATCGTGAACAAATACGACACAGGCGCTCATCAACATCCATCCTTATAAAAAAAGATATCACTTTTTATGCATTTTTCGACGTTTCAAATTCTCCCACGATTAAAACTGTAAAGAAAGGGATAATTTTTTGAACGATCCCCATACTTTCTTACTGTTAAAAAATATTAAATTAACAANTTTTTTATTCATTTATTATTGTTTATTTAATTTTGCATTATTTTTCCTGCTTTTTTTTCATCCTGAATTACAATTTTTTTAAAAGTTCATCATCGAGTTGCCTAATTTTCTCTCTAAATATACTTAAAGTTGTGTGGGCTGTTACGATTATTTATAAAAACTTATTAAAAGTTATTGTGACAAAAGGTTTAATTTATAGAGCAGAAATAAATTATATTTTTTTAAAATTGTAAATGCTAATGACGAGTAAAATCCTTATTGAGTCTGTTACCACTCGAAATACCGCAAATGACCCCTCTCAATCTCCACACCTGTTCGACCTATAATCACCAAAATTTAACAGTGTAAATGCCCGTAACATACAAACCTTCCTACGAAATTTCAGGAATTTTCGACTGAAAGAACAGAAGTTATTATCGTGAACAAATAGGACACAGGCGCACATTAACATCCATCCTTATAAAAAAAACACCAATTTTTATGCATTTCTTGACGTTTCAAATTCTCCCACGATTAAAACTGTAAAGAAAGGGATAATTTTTTGAACGATCCCCATACTTTCTTACTGTTAAAAAATATTAAATTAACAACGATGGTAATATTATTTGTTGCACTTGGGGGAACAACAACCAGTCACCACCTTGCATAATAAGTATGACTAAAAACGCTTCCTTAAAGGATTAAAAAGAACAAAAATGCTTCTTCCCTGTGCTACTAATTAATCTACAATATCGAAATTTGGTTTTTTATCAACAGGAAATTTCCTTTATCGTTTAAAATAAGATCACGTTTCGATTTTCCAATTACTTTTAGTTTTGAATTTGATTACACCGTTTGTGCCGTGACAAGTTTCGGAGTATTGTCACTGAGAGAATTTCATTGCTCTATTGTAAGGGATAAATAGGATTTAAAGGTGAGCAAAATACACATATCTCTTAAAAATACTTTTATTTTACCTTTGTATTGTCTTGTGGAATTTAGCCAGGCTTACAATGGTGTTCACCAGTGACCGACTGAATAAAACCATTGAACACTGATAACGAATTGGCCACGTAATGATTCCCGAAATTTCTTCACGGTTGGAACACCTAAATAGCGGTCAGTTTACAATAGAAAATTCTCTTCCGCCCTCGACACATTACACATGTGTCGCGTTGCCTAGCTTAAAATTGGGTGACGGGATGTTGAGGTATGAAGCAGGTCGGTCACTCGTGAAAAATTCCTGTTTAATACAATATCTAATTAAGAAAAATCCCTGAACAAGAAGTGTCCAAGTCTCTTATTTACGGACTTCGTCTGTACTTATTGAGCTTATATAAATCGAACTCCGGTATGAGGGAAACAAATAAGAGGTATATAAATGAAAGTTTAAGTGAGTGAAAATCGGGAGCTTCATCAGTAAATAAATCTCTATCCTTTTACTGTGTTTAAAATATAGTAACGAAAGCTGACGTTTATATCAATATAATGGAAGCTGACGTATCGTATGACAGTAACAAGTGTTGCAACTTGTAATTAAACTACACAGGTCAATGTCACTTTCGGAAGACTGTTGCTATTCATTATTCTTATCTAATTAATGAGAATATATAAACATCGGAATTCGGTTGCTGAGAACTATTCTCTGCATATTAAATTAATATCTTACATTGTTTCTCCTCATGCCATTTGTAAAATCGTTTACCGTAATTTTTACATTATTTAGTAGCATTAAAACAATTTTGCAAAAATATATTTATAAAAATAACTTCAAATAACCTCGGGGTTAAGAATTATCTTTGATAAGAAGAACATTTCCTTTATTACTGGATAAAATAATGATAACGAAGCAACGGATGTAATATTGTGGTGTAATAGAAAACTATAAATGTCATTCTAATACCTTAATGATGAATAACTTAAATTTGAATAACTCAACAAGGGGCCTAAAACAGGTATTAGGAATTGCTTGATGCCATTAAAAATTCATGAAGAAAAATAAATTTTAACTAATAAATTAATCTGTATATCCTCAACGTTTCATTAGACATTTATTTCCCTTTTCTACTTACTTTTTTAACGCATCCTCCTAATTCGTTTTCCTAAAAACTTCCTGTTACACGAGATTTGTTAGGAAAATGGTAATTCTGTTTGCGAATGTATTGTCAAAGTGGAATAAAGTTTGTGGAATTTTGAAGCATAATTATCCACAAATAACGCTTCTAGTCGTTCTAATCGACAGTTCCACGTGAAGGATAAATGGCTCTCGGTTAAAGTCCAGATACGTATACTGTCAATGCGGCTCATCTCTGATTACAGCAAACAGTGGGGACGCACGTTCTAACCTAACCTAACCTAACCTATTCTAATAATTTGATTGGTAATAATTATGGTAATTTATTAGAATAGGTTAGGTTAGGTTAGAACGTTCGTCCCCACTGTTTGCTGGAATCAGAGATGAGCCGCAATTACAGTATACGTATCTGGACTTTGACCTGGCTCTTTTCCTTCGAAACTGGCACAACCCCGAGTACAGTTATTTCTTGCCTGATTTTTTTGCTTGTTCCCGACATTCAAATGACACCTAAAAAGACACCGTTTGAACAGTGATGGTGTCGTAATGGGCTCTGTCGGTGAATGGTTTAAAGACCAGAACACATCTTGTCTTCGCCAAGGGTTAAAGCTGGAACACTACTGAGAGAGGCATATCACACTCCAGGAAGACTACGTAGAGAACTGTTAAAGTGTCGTTTGTCTGGGACAATTCGTTCACAAGTAGGCGCACTGCTGCTATTCAAACAATTCTCGTAACTTTCTTATTTAAATACATTATTATAAACAATTGATTCCCTCCTTTTAGTTTTTGGCAGTTATTTATAACAGAAAATAAGTATGAAGATCGGTCTAAAATAACCCCCGTGGAAATTTACATTTATGTAACCATGGGAGCTTGAAACGTCATAAAGTTTGGAGTGTTTTACTTTCTTTACTGAATGTTTGTATGTAGATGTACAAGTTTTTATCTGTATTAAATCTTAACAAACTCCTTTACTTCTATAATTTTTTACATTACCGAAAAATGTATTCATTTGAAACATATTTTTTAAAAATTTTTTCACTTCCAATATTAATATATTTGTTATATTTTCTATTTTCTGGTTAGATTCACGGTATAATGAAACATATTTCTTGCAGAGTTTGTCTAATACATTTATACCTGGACTAGCAGACCCCGCCACGCCTTGTTGTGGCTCAAAATGTATCTATTATAAATGTATAACACTTCCCCAGTGGGGGAAAATTTTTCGAAAAATTTTTTCTTAGTGTAAATTCTGTTGACGTATCCTATTAAAACGCAATCAAAAACGCAAAAACCCGCATCTAAAATAGTATAATAGAAGCCAAGTTTTTCAGAGTAAGCCTTAATCCTGTCTCTCTCCCCCGCGGGGGGAATATCGAAAAATCCCTTCTTAGTGTACATTCTGTTGACGTACTCTATTAAAACTCAATCAAAAACGGAAAAAACTGCATCTAAAATGGTATAAATAGAAGCAGAGTTCTTTACGGTAACCCGTAAGGCTTACCGTAAAGAACTGTCCATCCCCCATGTTTAACGGAATAATATACAGCCTATGTCCACCCTGAAGTTCCATTCTAAATATTGGTGAAAGAATTTTTGAAATCTTATGAGTAATTTCGGAGATTACCTGCTGCATACAAACTAACATACATACATATAAACATTACCTCTTTATAATATTAGTATAGATTATCTCTTTTTTTGAAGCTAGATAGATAAAGGACAGTTCTGACAGAATGATAATAGATGATCTTGCACCCAACCGCACTATCTCCACTTTTTGATATATATCTCATTTACTTAGGTATAAATTTATATTCAAATAGCAGATCCCGCCACGCCTTATTGTGGCTTAAAATGTATCTATTATAAATGTATAACACTTACCCCCTGGGAGAAAATTTCATCTTAGTGTACATTCTCTTGACGTGCCCTATTAAAATGCAATCAAAAACGCAAAAACCCGCATCTAAAATAGTATAATATAAGCCAAGTTTTTCACAGTAAGCCTTAATCCTGTCCCTCTCCTCCAATGGGGTAATTTCGACATGTATTCGACAGCCTATGTCCACCCTGAGGTTCCATATTAAATATTGGTGAAAGAACTTTTGAAATAGGATGAGTAGTTTTGGAGATTACCTGCTGCATACAAACTAACATACAAACATTACCTCTTTATTATATTACTATAGATTAGCTTAGCTTACTGTGTGTACAGGTCTCCTCCTTTAATGACATAGTTCCGTTCCTGCGACTGAGTCGTCAAGCGAATTAGTCGATAAATAAGTACCTTAATTATTTTATTTATTCGTAATAAAGAAGTGATATAAAAAACTCTCGAAAATTTCCTTTAATTGTCATTTTTTACATATTACACACAGTATAGTCAAACACACCCGGAATTCTTATGAATTTCTAAACGTTTCTAGGTTCACCGTATCCGAAAATATAAAACTCTTCGGGGGAGACATTTCTCGACCGATTGACATACTTTTCTTCTGTTATACATAACAGCCAGGAAAGTAAGACAGTCATTCGGATTAATATCTTAGACATAGAATACTCTAAAGAATAATAGATAATTGTTCCAGATCATCAGAGTCATCGTCGATTTATCAGAAGTGTAAAGGGGTAGCGTAAGGTACATGACTATGAATAATGGAAGAACTTGTAGAGGATAGGAGTTCCGGATGTAGCATTCGAGAAGAATTTCATGTGATTTGCATTGTGAGTTTTCTTTTTATGAGGCTGTCCTAAAATTTAGGGAAAAATAATTCACTCCCCTGATAGATTCGCGAACCATAAAACCTAAATAGGGGATGGTTTTCCATAAAAAGTCCTCAGGGTAGACACGTTCCTTACCAGTCCGTTTGTGTGTTGGGTCACCGTCTCCAAATAAACCGTTCAAAAGTTTAGGTTTTCTAAGATTTACTTAAACAAATGCAACAAAGCATACACTAAAATGTTCTCATACTCTTAAGTTTGTTTTTCTTATAAACTATAATCTTTAAAATAAACTAAAATTAAACAATTTAATTCTTTTTACAAAAAATAACGAAAAACATGAAGATTTACATTCTTATAATTTGTTTCTTCTGTTTCCATTTGACCGATTCACTAAGTTATGGACCCAATGTCTGTACGGTATATCAAGCGTAAGCATTTTTATGTTTTATATTTCAATGTTTCTTATTTAATCGTGTAATGAAGTGATATACATGACAATTAAATTTAACTTCGAATAAATGTTCGTATTCCATGAAAAAGTAAACAGAAATTAATTCCTGAAAGTCGTGTTAACGGCAGATTGAAACGAGGAATGCGTTAGCCCTTCTGCCGGATCCTGGTTCTTAATCGGGTCAGATCGAAAATCCCCCATCTTAAATTCGGCCTTTTCGTAATGGTTGTGGCCAAACCCACCGTGGATTTCATTACGCCCATGTGAGTTCGGCAACGGATGGATAACTGGTATAAACAATTGTCACCTGTTTACGCCTCACCACCGATCTGGTCGCGCGGACTTTTCGGTTTTCTTAACGCGTCTAACATCTCAATAGAGGCCAGATTCTTGTAGAAAGCCCTGCTGGGAGGCACCGTCCACGTATTGTGTTGCCTTATTCAACAAATCCTATAATTCATGACAAAAGATATTCTTAGTGACACAGAGAGAAGAGTCAAAAAAACTTTTTTAACACTTTTAAACAATAATAATAAAAGATTTCCAAAATTTTTATAATTATGTTTGAAAATAATTAACATAAAATTATAAAATTGATTTCTTGTAGTAATAATAATGTTCCTATTATTAGGTATTCGTATCAACAATACCAAGACGCATGGCGATATACATATAGAAGTACAAGATGCGGGTTTTTATGGCTTGACACGTGCTACACAAATGTGTAAGTTATTTAAATGTTATAAAATCTGATAATAATTAGTATTTTAAACGTCTGAAGCTTTAATATAATTGAAATAAATACTGCCTAGAGGTTATCATACGACAATACCTGTTACGAAATATTATACTAGAAGCCATTACGAATGTTGTGCAGGCTATGAGGAAGATGAAAATAAATGTCATCGCAAGTATTTTTTTTTATAAAATTTAAATTGATTTGAAACGTGTATCATAATATATTAATTTTCTCTTTTCAGCAATTTGTCAAAAATCTTGCTTGCATGGGCAATGTGTCGCACCAAACAGTTGTTTGTGTTCGGCTGGTTGGAAGGGCAACATCTGTGACACAAGTAAACTGTTATATTTATAATTGTTATAATACTTAAGATATAATAAGAACGTCTAATCGTGTATGTCTGTAGTAAAGCAAGAAGAGTGAATCTTATGTGTAAATTTGAATAATTAAATGTTTCACAGAGTGAGAAAGTGTGAGGCTATAGTGATAGTGTTTTGTTTTTGCTTATGTGACTCGAAAATATAAGATCGAATCCTAGCTACGATATCCTGGAATTTTAGGAGTAATGGAAGTTTGCGATACTTTAAGTATAGATAAGGTGGCTTTTCTGTAAGTTGATGCGACGTAAACTGGCTGATAAACCAAGATAAAGTATCTATAATTAGAAAAGCCGAATGACAGAGTGGTTCTGGTAGAAGCCATCCTCTTCAGAACCCAAGATTAATCCAAACATATCGAAAAACTACAAAAATGTTTCGATGTGATGTCGCATAAAGAGGGCCGCTTTATTGTAAACTTTAGGGTATTCAACAATGGTTTTCCTAAATACACAATCACAAAACTTCAAACAGGTGATCTATTCATTCAACATATATTCCATAGATAGCCTGACATGCCAGTATTGTTCTGGTCTTTGAATGGTTAAGTGACAATAAAGAAATCGATTATTGCTCTCGTTATTTGTTGTTAAAATCGCTTCCCACCATGATGTTACCGTCCATTGGAACGATCTCGACACGTCCTTATGATAATATTGTTTTCTAACAGAAACACCATTATATTACATTTTTCCCGTGATGCTTTTTTTATAATATGATAAAAATAATATTAATTAAACTGACTTATAATTATAGGTTGTAAAGATACTTGGGGCATTAACTGCACCAAAAAATGTTTATGTGAAAATGGAGCCAAATGCGATCCTGCTAATGGAAGGTGTAACTGTACGAAAGGTTAAATTTATCAGTACTTCATGACTAAAACGGAATTATGGATACCATTGTCTAACAATAAAAAATTAATCGAAAATACATCAATTTTTACCAATAGGATGGCAAGGAACACATTGCGAAATACCGTGCAAAACAGGATACTACGGATATCAATGTCAGGAAAAATGTCAATGTCAGAATAGAGCTAAGTGCGATCATATCACTGGATCGTGTATTTGTGAACCAGGATATACTGGAAACAAATGCGAAAGTATTTGCAAAGTAAGTATAGTTGCAAGTTTAAATGACACCTAACTACAAANAGTGTGAGGCTATAGTCATAGTGTTTTGTTTTTGCTTATGTGACTCGAAAATATAAGATCGAATCCTAGCTATGATATTCTGGAATATTAGGAGTGGTGAAAGTTTGCGATACTTTAAGTATAGATATGGTGGCTTTTCTGTAAGTTGATGCGACGTAAACTGGCTGATAAACCTAGATAAAGTATCTATAATTAGAAAAGCCGAATGACAGAGTGGTTCTGATAGAAGCCATCCTCTTCAGAACCCAAGATTAATCCAAACATATCGAAAAACTACAAAAATGTTTCGATGTGATGTCGCATAAAGAGGGCCGCTTTATTGTAAACTTGGGGTATCCAACAATGGCCTTCCTAAATAGACAATCACAAAACTTCAAACAGGTGATCTATTCATTCAACATATATTCCATAGATCGTGGCCTGACATGCCAGTATTATTCTGGTCTTTGAATCGTTAAGTGACAATAAAGAAATCGAATATTGCTCTCGTTATTTGTAATTAAAATGACTTCCCGCCATGATGTTACCGTCCATTGGAATGATATCGACACGTCCTTATGTGTTGAAATAGAACCACCATTATACAGTAGAACTTCGAAAACTCGGCTCTCGATAACCCGGCACTCCGGATAACTCGGCCACACCCTGGCAGGACAAAAAAATCCTTAGTTAATTAATTTTCATTATAGCAGCTTTATAAAAGTATAAAAGCTCTCATAAAGTATTGTTCTGAGGTCTGTGTTATCAGGTAAATTACTGTACACAGTGTATTCAATAATTTTCATTTTCATGTAGTAAAGGCTCTATGCCTTCATAAAGGACGTACTTTTCCTTTGTTTAAGGGTATTTGGGCAGTTTATTCTCTGTTATATTCTTAAGTAAACAATACATACAAGTACAGAACAGTATTTTCTGAGGAAACACTCGTACTTATTTTTTTTAACTCCATTCCCGATAACCCGGCATTTTCACAAACTCGGCCACCCTTCGGTTCACATTAGGCCGAGTTTTCGAGGTTCTACTGTATTACTTTTTTCCAGTGATGCTTATTTTATAATATGATAAAAATAATATAAATTAAACTGACTTATAATTGTAGGTTGTAAAGATACTTGGGGCGTTAACTGCACCAACAAATGTTTGTGTAAAAATGGAGCCACATGCGATCCTGCTAATGGATCGTGTAACTGTACTAAAGGTTAGATTTATCAGTACTTCATGACAAAAACGGAATTATGAAAACAATTATCTAACAATAAAAAATTAATCGAAAATAAATCAATTTATATCAATAGGGTGGGAAGGAACAAATTGCGATATGCCGTGCAAAACAGGATATCACGGATATCAATGTCAGGAAAAATGCCAATGTCAGAATAGAGCTAAGTGCGATCATATCACTGCATCGTGTATTTGTGAACCAGGATATACTGGAAACAAATGCGAAAGTATTTGCAAAGTAAGTATAGTTGCCATTTTAAATGGCACCTAACTACAAAGATTAGAAAAATTAATACTTGTAGAACTGGAAATTCGGTAAAAATTGTCAAACACAATGCAGCTGCAGACGACATACGACACTCCACTGTGACCATGTCGATGGTAGGTGCGATTGCTCACCCGGATACATCGGCAGCAATTGTCAGATTCAATTCAAAATAAGCATACAAATTTCTTTATTTTTTTCGTAGTAATTATNAACATCGGAATTCGGTTGCTGAGAACTATTCTCTGCATATTAAATTAATATCTTACATTGTTTCTCCTCATGCCATTTGTAAAATCGTTTACCGTAATTTTTACTTTATTTAGTAGCATTAAAACAATTTTGCAAAAATATATTTATAAAAATAACTTCAAATAACCTCGGGGTTAAGAATTATCTTTGATAAGAAGAACATTTCCTTTATTACTGGATAAAATAATGATAACGAAGCAACGGATGTAATATTGTGGTGTAATAGAAAACTATAAATGTCATTCTAATACCTTAATGATGAATAACTTAAATTTGAATAACTCAACAAGGGGCCTAAAACAGGTATTAGGAATTGCTTGATGCCATTAAAAATTCATGAAGAAAAATAAATTTTAACTAATAAATTAATCTGTATATCCTCAACGTTTCATTAGACATTTATTTCCCTTTTCTACTTACTTTTTTAACGCATCCTCCTAATTCGTTTTCCTAAAAACTTCCTGTTACACGAGATTTGTTAGGAAAATGGTAATTCTGTTTGCGAATGTATTGTCAAAGTGGAATAAAGTTTGTGGAATTTTGAAGCATAATTATCCACAAATAACGCTTCTAGTCGTTCTAATCGACAGTTCCACGTGAAGGATAAATGGCTCTCGGTTAAAGTCCAGATACGTATACTGTCAATGCGGCTCATCTCTGATTACAGCAAACAGTGGGGACGCACGTTCTAACCTAACCTAACCTAACCTATTCTAATAATTTGATTGGTAATAATTATGGTAATTTATTAGAATAGGTTAGGTTAGGTTAGAACGTTCGTCCCCACTGTTTGCTGGAATCAGAGATGAGCCGCAATTACAGTATACGTATCTGGACTTTGACCTGGCTCTTTTCCTTCGAAACTGGCACAACCCCGAGTACAGTTATTTCTTGCCTGATTTTTTTGCTTGTTCCCGACATTCAAATGACACCTAAAAAGACACCGTTTGAACAGTGATGGTGTCCTAATGGGCTCTGTCGGTGAATGGTTTAAAGACCAGAACACATCTTGTCTTCGCCAAGGATTAAAGCTGGAACACTACTGAGAGAAGCATATCACACTCCAGGAAGACTACGTAGAGAAGTGTTAAAGTGTCGTTTGTCTGGGACAATTTTTTCACAGGTAGGCGCACTACTATTGAAACAATTCTCGTATCTTCCTTACTTAAATACATTATTATAAACAATTGATTCCCTCCTTTTAGTTTTTTGCAGTTATTTATAACAGGAAATAAGTATGGAGATCGGTCTAAAATAACCCCCATGGAAATTTAAATTTATGTAACTATGAGAGCTTGAAACGTCATAAATTTTGGAGTGTTTTACTTTCTTTACTGAATGTTTGTATGTAAAGGCACAAGTTTTTACCTGTATTAAATCTTAATAAACTCCTATAATCTTTTTTAAAAATATTTCCACTTTCGATATTAGTGTGTTTGTTATATTTTCTATTTTCTGGTTAGATTGACCGTATACTGTAACATATTTCTTTCAGGGTTTGTCTACTCCAGTTATACCTGGATCATTTCCTTTTTTTGAAGCTAGGTAGATAAAGCACAGTTCTGAAAAAAGAATAATAGATTATCTTACACCCAACCGCACTATCTTCTCCACTTTTTGATATATATGCCATTTATTAGGTATAAATTTATATTCAACTAGCAGATCCCGCCACGCGTTGTTGTGGCTCAAAATGTATCTATTATAAATTTATAACACTTCCCCGTGGGGGGGGGGGAGAATTTTTCGAAAAATTTTTTTCTTAGTGTACATTCTGTTGACCCTATCAAAACGCAAAAAAAACGCATCTAAAATAGTATAAATAGAAGCAGAGTTCTTTACCGTAAGACTTAATCCTAACCATCTCCCTTCAGTGGGGGGGGAATTTCGACACGTATATTATATAAAAACACGTGCGTATTCGAATGCAGCGTTGTGTCAAAATTTCAAAGGAATCGGTAGAACAAACGAACATTACGTTTTTATTTATATAGATAGATAGAAGATGATCTGCTTTAGTTTATTTTCACAGAAAAGCATAATGCCTCACAGGAAACCAAACTTAGGGCGTCGTACTCGTAGCGCCATCTGTTGGACATAAAAGCCTTAACCTAGATTATATATTTTAATTTATATGAATGTTTAATGGAATAATATATAGCCTATGTCCACCCTGAGGTTCCATTCTAAATATTAGTGAAAGAATTTTTGAAATCGGATGAGTAGTTTCGAAGATTGCCTGCTGCAAACAAACTTACATACATACTTACAAACATTACCTCTTTATAATATTAGTATAGATTAGCTTAGCTTACTGTGTATACAGTTACTCATCCCTTAATGACATAGTTCCGTTCCTGTGACTGAGTCGTCAAGCGAATTAGTCGATAAATAAGTATCTTAATTATTTTATTTATTCGTGATAAAGAAATGATCTAAAAAACGCTCGAAAATTTCCTTTTATTGTCATTTTTTACATATTACACACAGTATAGTCAAACATACCCAGAATTCTTATGAATTTCTAAACGTTTCTAGGTTCACCGAATCCGAAAATATAAAACTCTTCGGGGGGGACATTTCTCGACCGATTGCAAAACTTTTCTTCTGTTATACATAACAGCCGAGAAAGTAAGACAGTCATTCAGATTAGTATCTTAGACAAAGAATACTCTAAAGAATGATAGATAATTGTTCCAGATCATCAGGGTCATCGTCGATTTATGAGAAGTGTAAAGGAGTAGCGTAAGGTAGATGACTGTGAATAATGGAAGAACTTGTAGAGGATACAAGTTCCGGATGTAGCATTCGAGAAGAATTTCATGTGATTTGCATTGTGAGTTTTTGTTTTTATGACGCTGTCCTAAAATTTAGGGAAAAAATAATTCACTCCCTAATAGATTCGTGAACAATAATACCTAAATAGGGGATAGTTTTCCATAAAAAGTCCTCAGGGGAGACACGTTTCTTACCAGTCTGTTTGTGTGTTAAGTCACCGTCTCCCAATAAACCGTTCAAAATTTTAGGTTTTCTAAGATTTATTTAAACAAATACAACAAGGCATACACTAAAATTTTCTCATACTCTTAAGTTTGTTTTTCTTATAAACTATAATCTTTAAAATAAACTAAAATTAAACAATTTAATTCTTTTTACAGAAAATAACGAAAAACATGAAGATTTACATTCTTATAATTTGTTTCTTCTGTTTCCATTTGACCGATTCACTAAGTTATGGACCCAATGTCTGTACGGTATATCAAGCGTAAGCATTTTTATGTTTTATATTTCAATGTTTCTTATTTAATCGTGTAATGAAGTGATATACATGACAATTAAATTTAACTTCGAATAAATGTTCGTATTCCATGAAAAAGTAAACAGAAATTAATTCCTGAAAGTCGTGTTAACGGCAGATTGAAACGAGGAATGCGTTAGCCCTTCTGCCGGATCCTGGTTCTTAATCGGGTAAGATCGAAAATCCCCCATCTTAAATTCGGCCTTTTGGTAATGGTTGTGGCCAAACCCACCGTGGATTTCATTACGCCCATGTGAGTTCGGCAACGGATGGATAACTGGTATAAACAATTGTCACCTGTTTACGCCTCACCACCGATCTGGTCGCGCGGACTTTTCGGTTTTCTTAACGCGTCTAACATCTCAATAGAGGCCAGATTCTTGTAGAAAGCCCTGCTGGGAGGCACCGTCCACGTATTGTGTTGCCTTATTCAACAAATCCTATAATTCATGACAAAAGATATTCTTAGTGACACAGAGAGGAGAGTCAAAAAAACCTTTTTTAACACTTTTAAACAATAATAATAAAAGATTTCCAAAATTTTTATAATTATGTTTGAAAATAATTAACATAAAATTATAAAATTGATTTCTTGTAGTAATAATAATGTTCCTATTATTAGGTATTCGTATCAACAATACTAAATAATATACATATGGCGATATACATATAGAAGTACAAGATGCGGGTTTTTATGGCTTGACACGTGCTACACAAATGTGTAAGTTATTTAAATGTTATAAAATCTGATAATAATTAGTATTTTAAACGTCTGAAGCTTTAATATAATTGAAATAAATACTGCCTAGAGGTTATCATACGACAATACCTGTTACGAAATATTATACTAGAAGCCATTACGAATGTTGTGCAGGCTATGAGGAAGATGAAAATAAATGTCATCGCAAGTATTTTATTTTTGTAAAATTTAAATTGATTTGAAACGTGTATCATAATATATTAATTTTCTTTTTTCAGCAATTTGTGAGAAATCTTGCTTGCATGGGCAATGTGTCGCACCAAACACCTGTTTGTGTTCGGCTGGTTGGAAGGGCAACATCTGTGACACAAGTAAACGGTTATATTTATAATTGTTATAATACGTAAGATAGAATAAGAACGTCTAATCGTGTATGTCTGTAGTAAAGCAAGAAGAGTGAATCTTATGTGTAAATTTGAATAATTAAATGTTTCACAGAGTGAGAAAGTGTGAGGCTATAGTCATAGTGTTTTGTTTTTGCTTATGTGACTCGAAAATATAAGATCGAATCCTAGCTATGATATTCTGGAATATTAGGAGTGGTGAAAGTTTGCGATACTTTAAGTATAGATATGGTGGCTTTTCTGTAAGTTGATGCGACGTAAACTGGCTGATAAACCTAGATAAAGTATCTATAATTAGAAAAGCCGAATGACAGAGTGGTTCTGGTAGAAGCCATCCTCTTCAGAACCCAAGATTAATCCAAACATATCGAAAAACTACAAAAATGTTTCGATGTGATGTCGCATAAAGAGGGCCGCTTTATTGTAAACTTGGGGTATCCAACAATGGCCTTCCTAAATAGACAATCACAAAACTTCAAACAGGTGATCTATTCATTCAACATATATTCCATAGATAGCCTGACATGCCAGTATTGTTCGGGTCATTGAATCGTTAAGTGACAATAAAGAAATCGATTATTGCTCTAGTTATTTGTAATTAAAATGACTTTCCGCCATAATGTTACCGTCCATTGGAATGATATCAACACGTCCTTATGATAATATTGTTTTCAAACAGAAACACCATTATATTACATTTTTGCAGTGATGCTTTTTTTATAATATGATAATAACGATATTAATTAAACTGACTTATAATTATAGGTTGTAAGGATACTTGGGGCGTTAACTGCACCAACAAATGTTTATGTAAAAATGGAGCCAAATGCGATCCTGCTAATGGAAGGTGTAACTGTGCTAGAGGTTAGATTTATCAGTACTTCATGACTAAAACGGAATTACGGATACCATTGTCTAACAATAAAAAATTAATCGAAAATAAATCAATTTTTACCAATAGGATGGCAAGGAACAAATTGCGAAATACCGTGCAAAACAGGATACTACGGATATCTTTGTCAAGAAAAATGTCACTGTGAGAATAGAGCTAAGTGCGATCATATCACTGGATCGTGTATTTGTGAATCAGGATATACTGGAAACAAATGCGAAAGTATTTGCAAAGTAAGTATAGTTGCAAGTTTAAATGACACCTAACTACAAAGATTGAAAAATTAATACTTGCAGAACTGGAAATTCGGTAAAAATTGTCAAACACAATGCAGCTGCAGACGACATACGACACTCCATTGTGACCATGTCGATGGTAGGTGCGATTGCTCGCCCGGATACATCGGCAGCGATTGTCAGAATCAATGCAAAGTAAGCATACAAATGTTTTTATTTTCTTGATAGTAATTATGATATTGAAATTTCATCTATTATTATTTATTCTCTTTAATAAGTTCTATGTAAATATAATATATATATTTATATCTATCTATATATATAAAAATGGACGTGTGTGTCCCTATATTTCACTTTTCAGCCGAAATTAAACATCGCCCATGAATGGTGTTTGTATGAGGTAGTAGCTCCAAGTCTCCATTCGTGCACTATGGTGGTTGCGTCTTGATAGCTATAAGGGTACGGGAGATATGGGGCTGAAAGTGGTTGAAAGTGGGTTTTTATTTCGAATGTTATGTTCGAATTTGTTCGAACATGAAATTCGAATATTGGTTCGATTATAAAACGATTGTAAACGTTCCAGAAACGTTGAAAATAGTTCGTTTGACTAAACGTAAAAATTCTCTAATTAGTCTGGAAACGGGGGACCTAATTCTTGCATTCTGTGAAAACGGGTAAGATTTGCTATAATGTAATTATCTTAATCTTCACTATCGTTACTTTTTGCCCA